TTCCTCCTTCCCCAGGCCTGCCCCCTCCCTTCCTCTCTCACTGTCTATTTATAAATGGGAGAAGAGACAAAGAGCAGCACTTTGGGCCTCTTGAAGGAGCTTGGTCTTCAAATAGGACAAGAGGCAAATCAGCCAGTCCTGGGGTCCCTGGTCCCTGAGAGCTGACAGATCTGGAATCACAGAGACCCGTATGGCCACCTGGCCTGGCCCTCACTAACTGATGACCAGTGTCCTTCCCACCCAGCCCTGTCCCCCCAGCTGTGCTGAGTCCTCTAGGGTGTGAGGGGGAGGGAACAGGAAGATAGGGCACAGGGGAGGACAGGTGGCATCCGACTTCCCAGGTGAGCTAAGCTATGCCAGGGAAGTCTGGTCGTCTAGAGCTTTGCCCTCAGCTGGCCTCTGGGGCTCATTCTGTGTTTTTTTTTTGGTGGTGGTGGGCGGAGTCAGACAGGGTCTCACTGTGTAGTGCAGGCTGGCCTTGAAGTTGTGGTGTTTCTCCTGCCTCAGCCTCCTGGGTGCTGGCATTACAGGAGTGTGCCACCATGCTCAGCGGGGAGTCTTGCCTGGACTTGAGGCCACCTCGTCCTGTAGCTGTCACTCACAGATCCCAGCCTCTGGGCTTTGGGCACCCACCTGGCCAGACTCCTGCTCTGGGGTTGTATTACTGCTAGTGTTCCTCCTTGGAGCCAGGCCAAGGCTGCCCTCCAGAAGGCCCACAGGAACCTCCCTCCCGCTGTGCTGCCGGGTGATGTCACCAGGGACTGCACCTTCACTTCTGTGTGCAATGGGACCTTCTGTGAAACGGAGGGACCTGCCTCACTTGCTGGATGTTGGATTCTGTGCTGTTGTCTGTGATCGTCCATCCATCTACTTCTGTCTGTCTGTGTATCTGTCTTCATGATCACCATTTATCATCTGTCTGTCACCTACTTGTCCATGTCTCGTCTGTCTAGCTCCCTAGGCAGCATCTATCTACCTGCCTGTCCACCCATCCATCCATCCATCCATCCACCCATCCCCTTCTCCATTTCCCTCACTACTGGCTCACAGAGTCCCCTCCTGTTGATCTCCCCCATAATTTTCAGATTTTCACCTAGGGCCCCATATTTTGAAGGACTGAGCCCTCTACACATGCTGACTCAGCCAAGTGCAACCCAATCCATTTCCTCCTTTTAGAGCACAGGCCCTGCAGGGTGAGTGGGGTGCTTATCCCCAGCCCAAATCAAAGAAGCTGGAGGCCTGCTGGGCCCTGCGCTTCCTAGAGGTGCTCCCAGTTTCTGGGGGACCTCTGGGCCCCCAGCTTTGGTCCCTGTGGTGGCTGGAGGCCTGGCTCCCAGACTGTGGTTTGGGCCCAGGCCCTGCTCTGGGGAGCTGGGCTTGGAGGGAGTGAGTGACCTTTTGTCCTGTTCTGCTCAGGGGCTTTCTGTTCCTCATTGTTTGGCTCTGACAGGGCTCTAGTGTGTGTGTGTGTGTGTGTGTGTGTGTGTGTGTGTGTGTGTGTTTGTCCAAGAGGACAAACAGGCCTGGAGGTTGCTGAGGGAGGCCTGGGGTCACACACAGCAGGACGAAGTGCAGCGCGCTAATCACAGTGCAGCTTCAGAAGGAGAAGTGGAAGGAAGGAGGCTCAGGTGAGGAGTCCAGCTGCCTGCCCTTGGCTGCCCTGGGCAGCGAGGGAGCCTAGACTTGGCCCAGGCAGGGCCCTTTCCCATCAGGCCCTTTGCACCTTGACGGGAAAGCCTCCCCAGCCAGAGTAGGAGCAAGAGTCTCCCCTAGTTACCACTGCCCTGGGTGCTGGGATCCCTGACACCTGGCTGGCCACCTGAGGCTCCCCCTGGGGTAGGGGCAGGAGGGGCAGGCACAGGTCCTGTAGAAAGGCCAGTTTGGGGGTGTTGTGGGGGGAGAGTCGGGCCCCGCAGCAGTTAGTATTGAGTGATATATACAGGGGGTGGCCCTGGAAGGTGCGATTTCTCTGGTTAGGGCTCCCCGGGGTCTTAGTCCTCCCAGGTCACCTTGCTCGGTCCCCGGGGCCAGGTAATCAGACCCAGTGGGGTTGAGCCACAGAGTGTCACCACTGCAGGAGAGAGTTCCTTGCTCTTTTCCTTTCTCCTTTTAGAGGCACAGCCTCTGGGGACCTGAGAGTCCCATTTGTGAGGATTGGCGGTCAACACTGGTGACAGCCTGGGGACCTTGGGTGCCGGGAGTGAGGCCCCACACACTGTGAGAAGCCCTGGTCGGGGTGCTCACCCCGGGCTTCCCCATGTGTCCAGTGCCACCGCGGGAGGGAAATTCAGGGTGAGTGCATGGGTGTGCAGGTGTGAGGTGTGATCGAAGGTCACGGGAAGGGAACCTGGGGACGGAAGGGGGTCAGGGGAGGGGAGGACAGGTAAAAGGGTAAGATGTGATATGTACCTGTACCAGCTCCCTCCATGAGGGGACTCATTGTACCACAAACATATACTGACACAAAAGAGAAACATTTTTACAGTAAAATACACATTGCCATGAATCCCCTCAAAATCCACCCCCACTTTGAACACACTTTTCCCATTCTTGCCACTTTCTGAAGCAGTTTTGGAAGTCTTCTTTTGTGGGTTTTTTCCCCCAGATTCTTTTTGAGACAGGGTGTCCCTATGATGTTAAGACTGCCCTTGAACTCACTGTATAGCCCAGATTGGCCTTGAACCCCTGGTGATCCTCCTGCCCCAGCCTCCCACCTGCAGGGATCATAGGATTGTGCCACCTCCCCCGGCTTTCTTGAGTGTCTTTAGTTTCACTAAAGACAGGGCCTCAGTGTCCTAAATTGATTAAAAGTGTTCACCTTTCTTGGTCATTTTGACATTGGGAGAAGAGTTCCGGTGAATAGCATGGATGAGGACGTCCTGGTGACTCATTCAGGGTGGGGCAAGGGTAGGCAGCCTGCTGTGGGCGGCTGCTCTCTGAGAAGGGCCCTTCGGGATGCGTGGGATTCTGTCAGAGGAAACACGAGACAGTTAGGGGACCCGGGATGAGAACTGCTGCTCCCGGCCACAGCCTGAAAGCTGTGGGTTTCGCCCTGATGGCTTCCAGCTGTTGGCACGGAGCTACATGCTGCCAGGCCAGCAGGAAGACAGCTGGGTGATAGGCCCGCTTGTCACATGGCCCCAGGCAGTCAGAACTGTGGGGGTGGGCAGAGGCAGCCACCTCCCCTTCAGACGGAGGGAGCCTGGCCAGGTTTGCACAGGCTGGGCAGTACCCATTACTGTAGCTGGTGTCCGTCCTGACTGGTTTGTGTAAGGCTGATGTCCAGGGTGACTGGTTTCTCTGTTACAGTTGTCAGATATTTCGATGAGCTGGCCATGGTGGCGCACCCCTGTAATCCTAGCACTCAGAAGGCTGAGGCAGGAGGATCACCAAGAGTTGGAGGCCAGCCTGGGCTACATAACAAGTCCCCATCTCCTTGTTCCCTTGTGTTAGAAGTGAAGTCCAGGCAGGGCTGGGGATTTAGCTCAGTGCTTCTGCCGCCTGCCTTACCAGCACAAGGTACTGAGTTCGATCCCCAGTACCAAAAAAAAAAAAAAAAAAAAAAAAAAAAAA